TAGTGAAAGCACCAGTTTTATTCAGTTAGAAGCAACTTGGAACAGCCAGGTAAACAAGGTCCATTGAAAGATATTCACGGAAGGAGCCACACAATAGAATTCCACAAGGATGGGGCCATTACTGAAAAGGCCCAATCTCTTGTACTTCACCCCTCAAACCTACTGGGTTGTAATGGTGAGCTGGTGAGCAGGGCATCTGTGGCCAGTTTTATGGCCCAGAAAGGCTAGTTTTTAACCAATTAACTGAATAATAATTATTTTTTACATTTCTAGTTATGTATTACAAATCATTTGAAGATCCTGATAGAATGAAACAGTTTGTCTTATATGTAAGAACTCCTGATGTAACAATTAAAAAGTTGTTGCACATGCCTTTAAAGAAAGGCACTATTTAATACCGGCATCCCCAAACTTGGCCCTCCAGATGTTTTGCGACTACAATTCCATCATCCCTGACCACTGGTCCTGTTAGCTAGGGATGATGGGAGTTGTAGTCCCAAAAACATCTGAAGGGCCAAGTTTGGGGGTGCCTGATTTAATATATCAACAGTGAAATTAAGTACCCAATACTAAACACATTTTAAGATGACATTAGTGTAAAATATGTGCTGACATTGGCTTTGAGGAAGAAATATCTTCATTTGCTTTTGGGTTTTATTGCTAGAAGAGACTTTAGAAGAGTTTCATGTTAAGTCAGAAAATATTTCCCAGCTTTGTAAAAAAACAAAACAAAAACAAGACGGAAGAGAGAGAAAATCATTAAACTCCATCAAATTTGGCTTGGGGAGAAGAGAGATGACTCTTCTTGTGTGGCCTTTACAGAAACCAGCACTTCTGTAATTGAAAGTGCTGAAGTCTTAGCTTGTTGCTAGTCTCTCCGGTTAATTGGGATGCAGATCTTAAATCTACAGCTAAAGCTTTTCCCTGGGTGAGTTATCTTCATAAACTGCCATTCTGAACCTAGCCCACCCAAGATGTCAAACAATATAAAGGCTAAAAGCAAATAATAATAATAATAATAAATTTCAAAAGCTGAATGAACAAACAGTTGATTAAAATAAAACTCAACCTGTATAATTATAGTAATAAGTAAAAAAAAAAAAAAAGCAATTGTCATATACAATACAATGTGCTCAGATCATTCTAACCAGTCAATGCATATTAATAAAAAATACCTTTACCCCATGTCTTCTACAAGAGGGTCTTTAGTATTTAAGCACTCAGCTTGCCATGCATGTAACAATTTGGTTTCTTCAACCTGCAGAACTTGCACTTCTGCAAGTACCCCACATAAGGTCTATTTCTGAGGAATCTATTGCTATGTTCTGGAACTCCCTACCAATTTAAATCAGCCAGAAATCCTGGCTATATTGTTTTAGGTGCCTGTTGAACACTCTTTTTTATTTATTTTTGTTCCGCCAAGTCTACCCAGACACACATATTATTGGATATTTGCTTTTTATTGGTTTGTGGAATTTCTTTACAGTTTTATTTGTGCCCTTCTTGGAGTGACCCTTTGATCAATTGGTACAGAGATTCTCTACATGAGTAGGGTTTGGCTAGGCTTTGACTGCAGGCTGCAAGTATCTCAGAAGGGAGGAAAGTGATGGTCGTTAAGAAGATGCTTTCAGGGCAAGAGGGTTCATAAGAGAATGAATCATAAGGGAATTCTGCTGGGGCCTTTCAATATGGGAATACGAAGATTATAGATTGAGTTATATATATGCAAAACAGTTCCTAGTATTTGAATCAGTCAAAGCTTGCTCTTGGGTCCCATGGGTGCTTCACGGGGAAAATGTTCTAAGCCAGTGGTTGCTGCAGTGACTATTGGACTTGAGCTGTCCTTCTTGGCTACTCGTATGTTGGTAGAAGGAAGTGCTATCTTGAGAGTGTCCTGCATGTACAGTGGTACCTCGGGTTACAGACGCTTCAGGTTACAGACTCCGCTAACCCAGAAATAGTACCTCAGGTTAAGAACTTTGCTTCAGAATGAGAACAGAAATTGAGCGGCGGGGGCGGCAGCGGGAGACCCCATTAGCTAAAGTGGTACCTCAGGTTAAGAACAGTTTCAGATTAAGAACGGACCTCCAGAACAAATTAAGTTCTTAACCAGAGGTACCACTGTATCTTGGTATTCCACTGAAAGATGGCAGCTCTGTTAAATTACCAAAGCTAATTGGTCTTCCACAAGCACTGGATCTCATTCTCAATGGGTGCACAAGACTAGCCAATCAGATAATGCCCAATGGCCAAGGTCTGCATTTACTAATGTGCCAGATCATTAGCAGTTGGATTTAAAAGCTCAGCCAAACCTACCTCAAAGGATTGTTGTGAGGATAAAATGGGGAGGGGCTGAACCATGTACACTACCTTGAGCTGCTTGGAGGAAAGTTATATACAAGATTTATAAAGGAAATAAATCAAAAGAGAGCAGCGTGTTCAGCGATTTGTATATGTTTAGTAACAAATGTAGCACAGTGTTATTTTCTATGCATTTCTCTTTCTCAGCAATTAATATATCAAGTGTATTGTCATCATAAGGGGTGGGTGTGGGTGTGGGTGTGGGTATGTGTGGAGTGATAGAGAGAGAGAGAGAGAGAGAGAGAGAGAGAGAGAGAGAGAGAGAAAGTTGTAGCCAACAAAGTTGTCCTGTTGGCACTTGTTCAACAGAACTTCCTCTCCCTGCTGCAAAGGCAAATCACACGAATGTAGACTATTTCTTAAACTCTATAAAAGATTAGCAACGAATGTAGGTTTTACATTTAACCCTAATTGGTATCTCTTCCTGTGGCAATACTGAGCGGCTTTTGCTTGTAATGCAAGACTTAATGAACAAGTTTTGATATCGCTACAGATATATGTTGCTGCTTTCGAGAGCAATCAGGGCGGATACCTATAACCACCTTGCTGATTCAGTGTCTGATACAAGGTGTGGGAGAAAAGCAGTTCTTAAGCGTTTCTCTGCTAATTAGTCATGGACGAGATGTAGGTTTGTTGTGGAGGCAAGCAGAAAATGGATTAGATCAGCATGGGAAAAGAAAGAGGAATGTAGTAAACTCAAGGGCACGTTCTAGGGAGCAGTGGATGAGTTGCATCTCTTTTCTATAAACTGTGTACAGGAGGCATGAGAGGTGGAAAGTTTGAAAAGGAGAAGGCAAGGATGGGTTTTTACAATGCTATTCTGTGCAAATGTGTGTAGAAGTTCTGTTGAGTTCAGTGAATTGCTCTCAGATAAATGTGTGTAGAGCTGCAACCATTGAAGGTTTACCTTCTCACTGTTCATGACATTCAACAACAGTAATATGTGTTGTTGCTGTTGTTTAAAAAAACAGCCAATTATGTATAAAATCACATAGAAGTATACATTCAGGTGCTCTTAAATCCAGCCCATAAGGCAAGATGAGTCAGTCACCTCAAGCTGCAGATGTGGTGACTGAGGAGTATATCACTTGTAGCTCTCTGGTCTTCTTTTATTGGTGGTGTCAAATGGCAAAATGTCCTGGCTGGCCCTGTCTATATCTAATGTTTAGGGACCAGCAATAACCCTGAGGGACTTCACAGGGAATATCATGGATTAACGCCAATGACCTCCCTGTCTTCATTTTCTGGAATCTCTGCACCAAATGTTTCTCAATATACCTGTGAAGTCTCATGACACTGTCATGCACATTTCAGCCACATTAAATGCCACAACTGGGTCAAAAGGGTACAGTTATACTTCCTTATCAGTCTCTAGGTTAAGATTGACAGCCACCACCATCTCAGACCACACCACTCCCCAAACCAGGCTGGCAGAGGTCTGGAAAGTTTGATGAGACCTGGGTGTGTCAGTAGCTGGAAGGCAATTGCTCATGCTGCAGACTCACAGGTGGCAATATAGTTCTCCTTGTTCCCAGCCATCCTACCCATTCTCTTGTAATAAAGTATCTCTGTCTCCATTAACCATTTCTAAAACGCCTTGTCTATTTTGTGTCCTGCCTCATCAGACGGGCATCAAGTGCCACTGCAGTTCTAGACATTAACTGGATGCCATCTACTATTACTTGCAGCCATTGCTAACTGTTTGAATGCCTTCAAGCTAGTCTTCTAAGAAGCAGGTGCTTAGGGTGATGGGAGATGAGGCTGGACAGGACAGGAATGGAACCAACTTAGATCTGTGAAGTGGCCTCGATGAACATTATAATCAAATGATGATAAACTCATAATAAGACAACAATGATGGTTGCAATCTGCATGTGTTAAAAGCGCCATCAGTGAGAGACTAAAATGGTCAGTCTGTCCATGATATGCTCTCAGTCACTGTGCAAAGAAGAAAATGTTTTAAATGACATTTGTAAAAAAAAAACAACAACACCAGAAGCATTTTTGTTAGGGATTGTAGGACAAGACCTGCCAAGGAAAACAAAGAACTTATTTATGTATGCTACAACAGCAGCAAGAGTCTTAATAGCACAAGGATGGATGAATGAGGAAACCCCGACAAAAGAACAGTGGCAAGAGAATTTGATGAACTATGCAGAACTGGCTAAATTGACATATAAACAGTGAGACAAGGACAACTGTGACTTTAAGGAAGAATGGGAACTTTTCATAAATTATTTAAAAAGACAAAATGAATTGGACTCCTGGGCAGGTTTTGAATAAACACACACAAATTTATTGGTTGATCACATGGTAGATAAATAATGTAAGGATCTGTGTAATTTTATAACAGCAGAGAATAATATGTGCTGAAAAATCAGAGAGAGGAGCTGAGGGAAGTCTCAGGGGGAGGGTTTGATGGGCGGGGAAGGGGGGAAATAATGAATATGATATGTTTTGATATTTTGGTATGTTGAAATTGCTAATAAAAACATTTAAAAAGAAAAAGAAATGTGATGATAAAACAAGGGAGGTCTTTTCTCTCGCTTGGCTTCATATTATATCTGCACAGTGCTTAAAATAATGTAAATATTGTTGCACGCACTATTGACTGTTGTTTGTTTCTGTTTTGTTCTCAGATACATCCCATAGTGCATGAATGGGCATTTAAGAAGCCTTGCTCCTAAATTACTGTGAAAATGGAAACCTCATCTCTGCTGTCATCCTTACATGATGATTGTAGATCAGACAACTACCTTGAACCGCACTACAAGGAATGTTACAGGCTTGCCATTGATGTGTTAATTGAAAGTGGTTCAGAGGCTTACCAAGAATTTCTTTCCAAGGAGAGATGTGCAGAGTTTCTAGCAGATGATGAAATCAATTATATACTGAACACAGTTCAGAAAATCCCTCAAAACACAGTTTGTGCTACTGACAATGCTGCTGATGATACCTCTTCCTCAGGAACTTATTGGCCGATGGAATCAGATGTGGAAGCTCCTAATCTTGATTTGGGTTGGCCTTATGTAATGCCTGGAATTAATGGTGGTACAAATATTGAGTTGCTCTTCCATCCCCCTCGAATACAACCTTTTACAATAAAGGAAACTATTAGGAAGATGGTAAAAGAAGCAAGAAAGGTAAACTTTTATAGTTTCTTTTTTAAGCATCTAATTTATAATAGATAAGTGACATTTTTATTTCATTATTCATATCAATGTGAAACTGAAGTTCATTACAATGCAAAGGGACACTTTTATCTGCCAGATTACTTAAAGTGCTTCCACTCAGATTTTGAACTTCTGTGAAAGAATCATAAGAATGTAGCCATCATGGCCACATGGTCATTGAGAGACTTTTTTTTTTTTTTGCAATTTCAGCCGGGCTTTTAAATTTAATTCTGATTTAATAGTTGAAACTCATTTTTATTGTTATTGTACTGGACCTCCTGTACATTGCTTTGAGATGACAATGATTAAGCAGCATACGAATAGTTGAAATCAATAAAATAAATTAGGAATGTAGTAGTAAATATATAGCAAACCAAGAAACAGAGAAGCAAGCAGAAAAATAAACTCTAGGGCAAGACATCACCAACTCTGGTGTTAAAACTTTCAAAACGATTTCCTTTTTGAAAAAGCAGCTTCTGATATAGATTGGGGTGTGTGTGATCTAAATGTTTAAGCCCACAAGTTTCCCCCTCCATAGGTAAGCTGTGACTAACTGCAGCTCAATGTGGTTGCAGACTATCTCTAGATAACATAGCAGAGGAATGGTTAGACTGTCCCATGTACTGTGCCCCCAGTCTAACATGAGGGGCCCATGGGTGCCTTTAGAAAGAGAAAAATAGTTGCGGAGCTCCAGAAATGGATCTCCAGTATAGCTTGGCATTTGGCCCCAGTTTCTTTATTTTCTCAAACTATTAAACATATTTTTAATGCTGGTGGATTTCAGTGAATGAAGTTTACCACTTCTGTAGCAAAATCAATGGGATTTAATTGTGATTTCCTTTGGATGGGTTGCAGAAGTTTGGAACATGAGAACCACCAGTTGTACGAAGCAGGAAAGCAATACGGCTCATGCATATTTGTAATCATCTACATTTTTGTTCCTTGATTGTGGTATGTTTAAATTCAGTGTGAACTAATTTTGGAAGAGACGAATGTTTGTGTATTTAGACCAGCCTCCCCTCTGCAGTAGTATTAGTAGCAGATAACCTTGCAGGCAACACAGATGCATTGGCAATGGCTGTCCAGGTTTGGCTTTGCAACATAAACTTGAAATACCAGAATATAACTAGCTAAAAGTGTAATGTCTCTCTCAAAGGTATTACTAACTCACTCGCACTCATTTATAGCTCCTTCCCACCATAAGCACCTAAAGTATTGACAGATGTGTGCAAAATTTATGTGTGTTCCCCTCCCCACTGTATGTCATCTTTTTGCATTTTTGTTGCTACCTCCCTTTTTCCTCCTGGCGATTTAAAATTTAAGGGCGTATTCATTCCTTTTGTGCTGCTTTGTGCCTATTTAGCATTCCTGTGCCTTCTAGGGAACTTTTATTTGTTTCGGGAGAGGTGAAGAAGTGATTTTCTGCTTGTGCCGGATACCTTGGGATGCAAACCATGGGTTAGATCAGTGGTTCCCAAACATTTTCAGGCCACAACCACCTTCGTTCCATATACTCATGCCTGGTGCCCCATATTCTATTCTGTAAAAAGCATTATTAAGAATAGCAGGTTTCCCAACCCACTAAGGTAACACAATAGCCATTTTTAAAACAGCAATTAATTGCCACATTTATTCAAAATCCAGTTGAAACCATTTAGCTTAATAAATTCAACAACATTGATTCACTTGATCCAGTGATACCAGCTTTTCAAAGTTTGATAGCCATTGACACCCCATTACTCCCCTCCTGCCCCCTTCCCTCTTAGTGGAATGCCAAGTAACCCCAGTGCCTCTGAGAAGGTACTACCACCCACTGTGGGAACCACTGGGCTAGATCTTTCCTGTGAAATAAATGGCACTCGCAACGTTTTTGAACTCAGATGGAACTCGGGATTGAGTCATTGTTTTATTAAGCCGCTTCTGTAGGATTTAAGAGGACAATTTATTTAATGACCTCATTACTAGCTGACAAGTGACTACAGATGAGACAGCACAAAGGTTGTTTGGCTACTACAGTATACCTCAGTCACTACAACACAAAGTGAAAAACATTGTCTTTAAGACCATTGTCAATGTTGTGTGGATGGATTGACCAACTGAGTTAATCGCTCAGACTTGAAAGTGGAGAAAGAGGCTTATTTGAGTCTTGTATTATAGAACTTTCCTATGAAATTATCAGTTGCTCTGATTTACAGTTTCTTTTGGGTACTGTGTCAGTGCAGGTTATAAACTGTGTAAAGAAAACTTCCCTTTGAAGAACTTCAAATGAGTGAATGGTTATAGGCGAACTAAAACAGTGAAGTCTGTTTTTGGTAACCCAGCTCAGAAGAGCACATGTGTCACCTTAAATGAGAACTGGAATAAGATCAGCCCCCTCCAATGACTATTCTACATTCTACATTCTAGCTTTATTCAATAATTTAAGAAACTGTAACTTGGGCTGAATTAGATACATGTAGGATTACATTTATGCAACTATGTGTTTTGTAAATAGCTACTGCAGGGAAGGCTGAGTTGCCTCAAGATAATGGAGAGGGAATTTTAACTCTTACTCTGCCAGGGTTTCAAGTAAAATTGCCCCTCAGAAGCTGCTATTGGCATTTCATTTAAAATTTAGAAAGCTTTTTGTAAAAGCAATAATAACATCACCTTGAGTACAATCACACAATTATCCTCTTTCCCAGTACCACTTGTTCATGATGTAGAGCTTCACTTACCCCTTCCTCCCTGACAGGGAGAGGGGAACCATTTTGGGGGTTACCTTAGGTGCCAAAATGTCTTGGGCCGACCCTGCTTTATTGACACTGTTAGAGCTTCTACGTGGCCCCAAGATCTATACCTTAAGATGTCCATCAATACAGTTGTTGTTGTTTAGTTGTTTAGTTGTGTCCGACTCTTCGTGACCCCATGGACCAGAGCACGCCAGGCACTCCTGTCTTCCACTGCCTCCCGCAGTTTGGTCAGACTCATGTTTGTAGCTTCGAGAACACTGTCCAACCATCTCGTCCTCTGTCATCCCCTTCTCCTTGTGCCCTCCATCTTTCCCAACATCAGGGTCTTTTCCAGGGAGTCTTCTCTTCTCATGAGGTGGCCAAAGTATTGGAGCCTCAGCTTCACGATCTGTCCTTCCAGTGAGCACTCAGGGCTGATTTCCTTAAGAATGGATAGACTTGATCTTCTTGCAGTCCATGGGACTCTCAAGAGTCTCCTCCAGCACCATAATTCAAAAGCATCAATTCTTCGGCGATCAGCCTTCGGCAATCAATACAGTCCTCACCTTTAAAAATGCCTTGAACTTACACTTGTTACAGTTGGCTTTTACGTGAGGTAATTTCTAGGTCACGGCTGTTTTGGAATATAGGCTTTAATCTGCTGGTTTTAAGTTTGTTTGTTTTTTCATATGAGGTTATTTTATGCTGGCCTATCATGTTCTGGTAATCCATCCTTGCTGCTCATTGACCTATAGACTGCCCTAGAAATCTTTTAAGTACTGGTTTTTTTAAAAAAATCTTTGAAATGCAGATAGCAGTTCCTTGACCCATTCTATAAACATAGGCTTTGTGCCAGCACAGAGGCATGTTTGGAACTTTCTGAAGCTAAAGCCGTTGAATTTTGTGTAAAGAACTCATTTCCTTAAGGGGAATTTGTGTCTTCACCCACATACCTAAAGGAGCAGGGCAAGCACCATCCTGCTCTGTTTTCTTTCAGCTGACACAGCAGCAGCAACATGCAGGCCTGCTCTTAGGAGGCTTTTAATTCTTCTCTCTTCAGCAACCTAAAGGCTTATTTTAAGACCCTTTCTCCCCTCTTCATTTATTCTATTCCCCCATTGTGTATCATTGCATTTTCTTTCCCCAGTTTTCCTCCAAGTCTCATTCCTATTGTGTATATGCATATAGCATTTTTGATAATAAAAAACAAACCTAAGGTATTCAAGAAAGGGTTGAACTCATCCATTTCCTTTGATGAAGCTATGAGAGACTTTGGTTTAAATTGGTTACTTTTCTCCATATAAAGGTTGACCAAAAGAGATGGCATCTATCAAGAAAAAAAAGGGGGGATTAATATACAGCAGTCTCCTCAGGGTACTTGGTATAAAAAAGCAAGTTTATAATTTTAGACTTCCTAACTTGAAACAAATCGCATACTTTTGTTCTTTCATGTTTGGAAAAGGACACACAATAACAAATAATAAGTTGAAAAACTGACCTTGAAGCAATATAACAAATAAATTGAAAACCAATGAGCACAGTTATACCAGAGACCACTCTGAAAAAGCCAGTACTGTCTGCCTCAAGATAAACCTTTCCTTAAACCCTTTCAACAGCAGTGTTAATTGCTGATCTGGGAAAATAACAATTTATACCAGTGCAGGCATTTTCATCACCCCTTTGCTTGGAAATGCCATGAAGATGGCAGCTAGTAAAATATTGTACTGACTGGTGGAGAGTTTTATACTACAAAGGTTGTTGGGTTTTTTGGTGCATTGCTTATATCATAGCACAGATCTAAGGGATTGTGGAGGAGATATACATTCCTAAGAGTTCTTGACTGAATTTATTGAAATATATTTTCAAGGAGAATTAGACAATACGTTGCCATCAGCACTTCTCTTTGTTGCCTATCCATGCTGGAACTCCATAGTGGTAATGATTCACAAATGGGGTCCTCTTGATGTTGGACGAGTGAAATGTATTGCAACATGTTTTCAATAAAGTAACATCAAAGGATGCAACTATTGACCAGGATTCCACTGGACAACACCCAAATAAAATTTTTATGACAGAAAAGCAAATTTAATGAAGGTTAGAGCAGCAATATTTGGCTTCTTACATGGACATCATAGGCATATTGTAAAACTGGCCCTACAAATGTTGCTGAACTACAAGTCCCATTATCCCTGATGACTACTTATGTTATAAATATATTTTTATATCACCCTTCACAACAGTCACAGGGTGTTAGGTACC